CTTAATTATATAAATTCATATTTAATTTCAAAAAAATACTAATTTTAGGGGAAAATAATATTATTATTATTACTACAACTATGTAAACTTAATATTTAACAGATCATTTCATAATAAATATTTTTTTGATATAACAAAAATAATACTAATAAAGAAAAATATATATGTTATGAAACTTTGATGGTTCATGATTAATAAATTTGTGTTGTCATTATCATCGGAGAACTATGAAGATGTTTTTTTTTTTATAAATAGTTATTTTGAAATCATAAAGAACATTTTATATTTGTTATGTGTTATTATAATTTTTCAATGAAGTTCTATCGATATTTTTATCCAAAAAATAGTTGTATGCATCTCTAATACTCAAATACAAAAATATTAATTTTAAGGAGTCTTTGTTTGTGTATGATACAACTCATACCAAACCAAGACCTTTCCTACAAGGAAAGAAAGAACCCGCGGCTCCCCTTTTTGAATACCCCCTTCACTCCCCCTCGATTCGAGATTCAAAAGAAGGATATAGAGTTTATCCAAGGAATGCTCTTTCGTGGCGGTACGCGAATTCTCGAGGGCCCGAGCATATAAAAACAAGGATATGAGGACAATTACATAATAAAAGAAATATTATTGTAGTTTCAATTTCTTAATATTTCACTCATAAACATTCTAAATATAATCATATGAAATATAGTTTTATTATTTAACTTCTTTCTAAAAATCTGACGTGTAACAACTTATTTAAATACATAGGAGTAATTGTTTTGTCAACTCAGTTTTTAATTTTAAGTATTATAGATATAAGTTTTTAATATTTGAATTTAAATATAATTCATCTTTTCAAAATTAGAAATTATAAACTAAAATAGATCATATACACTTTGCTCCTCTTTTATACTTTTGAAATTTTTTCTTTTTGTCATTAAGGAATTAAAAATAAATAAACAAAAAAAAAGTAAAAAGGAGAATTTTCGTAAACTAAAAAAAGGATGTAGTTTTTTACTAGTTTTTTTATTATATAGTTTTTATATTTCTTTTATTATATAATTTTTACTACTATGTTTACATATTTTTTTTTGTAAAATAATATTTTTTCTTAGATCTTAAAAATATCTAGAGAAAAGTATGGGTGAAACTTATGTTTTTTTATAGATTTTGTAATTTATTTTTAATATTTAATTATGAAATCATAAATAATTAATATCATCAATCATTTTTAATATATTAAAAAATTAAATTAAAAATATATTTAATACTTGAATTAAAGGATAAAAATATTCAAAAAAGAAATTAATTTATAATATGAACATGCCTTTTTACCATTCTGATCATATTATATTTGGCCAAAATGATTTTTCCCTGTATACTAACATTAACATAGTGTCATTAATGAATGAGTAGTTTCATAAATAAATTAGTGAATTTATTATTATTTTTTTAATTATTATTCATCTAGAAGTAATTAATTAATATTTTTATTATTATATCTTGTTTTTGTTAAAAGTAAATAATGAAAATAACTAATAGAAGGGGACAAAAGTAATTATGATAAGACAAAAGTAATAAATGATATGACAAAATTAATACATTGAAGTACAAACACAATAAATGAAAAGATAAAAAAGAACAAAAGAAGCATTGATCCTTGCAAAGGGCATCACGGATAATTACTTTTGTCCGTCTGGATATTTTTGAAATTAATATGGAAGGAGGCTATTTCGCTTAAATAGTTTAATTTTATGGTGTATTTTATTATTTTTTCGTTTTATATTATTTGATTATTACATTAAATATAGCTATTTTATATTAATTAATTATTTTTATTAATTAAGAACATATTAATTTTTTTAATATTATTCTTGCAATTAATTTTCTTTTAAAAAATATATATTTATTTATAAATTTTCTGAAAAATTATTTAAAGAGCGAATCAATAAAATCATCTTTTTTATTTATAATTTTTTAAATTTTATATAAAATCAAAATTGATCAGAGAAAATATTTTTCCCAAAAAAAGTATGATCATGTATATCATGTAAAGGTATCAAGAGTTTTTGTGGCCAGCTTATAATTATACCCCAATACTTGATTCCATCTTAATTAAAAAGACTCCACTTATAATTAATAGTAACAGATGATTTAACTTTTTAAGTCATCCTGATATATATTATTTAATAAATATGCCATAGAATTAATTAGTCCACCAAAGTGGGTTATCACTGTCTCTACATACAAACAAAACCATAAAACTCAAAACAACTTGCCAATAAACAAACAACACAATTATACTCAATTCATTTTTTTTTTAAAATGAAAGTAATTCAATTTAATTTATGTCGCATGATATATCTATAAATTATCAAAGTTTTCGAGTTGTTCATTGAATTTTTTATCATTCATTAAAAATCTCTACAGTGGACAAATTATTATTTACTATTCTCCTCAAATGATTTTCAATTTAATTTTTTAGCTCTTGAATATTTTCCTTTTCTGAATGTATAAAATTTTAGTATTATATATTTAAGACCTTAAAATTGATTAAACTTTTTACTTTACATTATTTCTTTCTTTCGGTATTTAAATAGATGACATAATAAGATTCGGAATTGGTATTTCAAGCTTTTCATTTTTTTGTTTGATTATCACTCTTCTCCTTTTTTTTTCTTTGGCAAAGTTCTTACTAACTATTTCAATCCCTTTTTTTAATTCTAATTTTGACTTTAACACAACTTAATCTAAAGCAAAAATTGAACAAAAATATTTAATTCTATATATACATTTTACTTCTAGAATCTGTCCACTTTAGTTATATTTTTACTTAAACATTAAAGGTAATATAGTTTTTGTTTTTGGGTTTATTTAACTCCCTTTTTCATCATTTAGGTTTCAGACTCACTTTTAAAGAGTGAAATGGAAAGTTTAAACTTAAACTGCTTTAATGTATGACATTTTTTTTATTTGTCTTATGTAATTCTAGTTCGTTATTGACTTGGCACATCCTTTAAGAAATTATAAGTAGAAAAGTAAATTTATTATATCATCTTTTAAATGTAACAATGTCTTGAAAAATGAAGTACAAAAATAAATATAATTAATAATAAGGTAAATTAGGAACTAAGTGTAAAATTATTTCCGAATTTTATGAAGTAGACATATATTGTTCGACATCTGTTTTTATTATAGTGGATAAGTACTCCCCCTGTCCAATAATATTCTGTAAATACTGCATATTTGATTCCATCTATAATGTCCACTATACTAAAAATAGATGCTCAATAATATTTTTTTCATTTTATATATCACCTTTTTATTTTGCATTTGTATTAAGAAATGATGTAATTTTATCCTTCTACCCTTATTTAATATTTTTGGATCATGTTTTCGATTAATGAATATGAATTAATTAATTTAACCAACGAATATGAATCATTTACTTAATTTTTATAAATTGGTCAAATATATAATTTCAAGACTAATAACTATCATAAAAATAAAACACATATACAATAATTTATTAATTAATTTTATAAAATAATATTATGAATAAATTATTATAAAAAGTGATAATATATAAAAAGAGACGGACGAAATATTAAAGTTTTAAAGATGGTTGTAACTTTTTAAGTCATCATGTTAATAATTTAACAAGTCCGCCAAAGTGGCCTTGTTTCTGCTTCACATGCAAAAGCATTAAAAGCATGCATGGGCAACTAAACAATAGAATTATACTCCACATACATAAACAGATCTCTAAATTTGTTGGATTTTTCCATCAGGTACCTCAACTAAGTCATTTTTCTATTGATCATTGAACCACACATAATTTGTTCCTTTAAAACACTGTTGATTGATTTTAATCGGCTATTCTATTGTAAATGCCTTCAATTATGTTAGAATTGTAATAATTTTCATTAAATGAATGAAGACAAACCGTGTTAGCCTCATTTGTTTTCTAATGTGTTCAAATGACTTAAGTAAAACACAACTAGTTTCGAACATTTTCACTATCAATTGTACTAATGAATTGTGGAACAACATATGTATCCTCTATCATTACCCCTCACAAGTCTGGTTCAACATCAAACAACGGTGTTTGTTTGAACAGAACAAATTATGGGGTTCAATGATTCAATAGGAAAATGACGTAGTTGAGGACCTAAGGGAAAAAACCAAACAAATTTAGGGATCTGTTTATGTATTTGGCCCAATTTCAACTATATGATATATTATCATCGTTTCATTTTATAATAATGGTTATAGTTAAAAATTAAATTAAATTATAATTCGAATTAAATTGATTAAAAGAAATTGATATTAATTTGATTTTATTAGGTTTGAGTTTTAAATTTTAGAAAATGATACTATTTGTTTATTTTAATTTTATTAAAAATAACTGTAAAAATAATTAAATCAAATCGATAAATTAGAAATGTAAATTTTATAATTATTTATATATTATTTATAAATAAATATAAATATTTTGTTAAATTTTAAGTAAGTTGAGTCTTTAACTTTACAATTTTCTCAAGTCTAACAGTCAAATTCTAGCCAAATTACAATCTTAAGTCCAATTTCATTAGAATTTATTACCTACCATACCTTTCATAAGACAGTCAAACACTTTCTCTTAATTTGATAATTTTATTCGTATAATGATAACTCTAGTATTGCTTAATGTACTAAATATTTTTTTTTATTAAGAATGTATGTTCTCAAAAATTTATTACTTTCAAATAAAAAAATCTCAACCAAACAGAATAAAGCTACCCGGATTAATTGATATAATTCCAAACATACACTACATTTTTCAAAGATATTAATTCAACGTTATAACAGGAAAAAAATAACTATCCTCTTTTAATTAGTTAAACAATGACAAGTGAAAAAAAATCAGTTTAAAAAATATTTGACAAGCAAACACGAATTATGTCATAATAATATTAATATCAAAGGGTAATAAAACGGAGTCCCAAAGTAGGCCTTATAGGCTATATATATTATGACAATCGCAAAGCAAACAATCCACATAAATCTCATTCTCCTCTTTCTTCACCACACTAAAACAAAGCTATTTAATTTTCTTGAGAAAATCTAATGGAGGATCAAGTAGAGCACAAAACAGTAGCTGTGAATGGAATAAACATGCATTTTGTTGAAATAGGTCAAGGCCCTTTAGTCCTCTTTATTCATGGTTTCCCAGAGTGTTGGTACTCATGGAGGCACCAAATGTCATTCATGGCTAAACAAGGTTACCGCGCGGTGGCTCCGGATTTACGCGGCTACGGAGACACCACGGGTGCACCTAATGATGATCCTAACAAGTTCACAACCCTAGATATTGTTGGTGACTTAGTAGAGTTGTTGAATAATATTGCACCACAAGAGGAGAAAGTGTTTGTTGTGGGACATGATTGGGGTGCTGTTGTTTCATGGGCTTTGTGTTTGTATAGACCTGATAAAGTTAAGGCATTTGTGTGTTTGAGTGTGGCTTTTAATCCTAGAAACCCTTTGAACAAACCACTTGACACTTTGCGCAAGGTTTATGGAGATGACTATTATGTGGTTCGATTCCAGGTGCGATCTTTCATTTCATATATTTTTGTTTTGTGTATCGATATTCGATCGAGTAACATTCGTATTGATTGAAGGATATCTATAGATTTATCAATAGTGAGATTTATTAATTAATTTGTTTCAAAGATTTTAGATTGTGTTAATATATTTTTACTAGCAAGAGATTTAATTTTTTGATTCAAACAAAAATGTTTTTAGATATGATAATTATATTAGTTTTAAAGTTAGACTCTGAATAGTACTGATTGTACAATTAATATTTTTGTTAGTTATATAATGAATCTAGTTGTATTTTTTGTTTCGATTATCAAGTTGTTAATACAATTTGATCCATAATTTCACGAGCTGTTTGAGGAAAATTTAGTATTTGTTTATTACAAAAAAAAAGAAGGATAAATACTACTACTAGCTTGATGGTATATACATGGAGTGTAGCAGTGAAAAAACGAACTGTTGTACTTTATGCTTTTGCTTTATTATTCTACTACTTTTTTAGATTAATTAATACTCCATCCATTTTAAAAAGATTGATATAGTTTGACTTGGTGTAGAGTTTAAAAAAAGAAAGAAAATTTTTTAATCTTGTGATTCTAATTTAAAGTTATGTCAAATATATCAAAATGCTCTTTAATTTTGTGATCCTAAACATGTCACGTAAAAAGTTAAAGTTAAAATATTATCAAAAAGGGAAAGATATTATTTTTTTTTAAACAAACTATAAAGAAAATAAAATTTTTTTTTACTGTTTGAACCACAGTTTCACGTGTTTGAATCGAATTAGATTACTCCCTATGATCAAAAGTAGGAAGAAAAGAAACCTACAAATATTGTGGATATTTGATCATGTTTTTTTTCATCGGTAGGTGTGCTTTCAAAGTGAAATTGATTTTCGAAGACTGGCGAAGTTGAATCTTTTTTTTATATGATAATAATTAAATCGATCAATAAACATGAATAAATTATTCAGTTTTTCCTATATTGGTAAAATATGATACTTTCAAGGCTATTAATTTTCTTAGGTAAAATAAAAAAAATAATATTATCTATGTATTGAATTTGTGAAATGATCAATATTAATTTTTATTTATTTTTAATAAGAACGATATATAAATAGAAATACTAAAAAACATTTATTTTTAATAAAATTCTGTGTAAGTAGAAACTGAGGAGGTTGATAGATTGAAACCAAGAAAGTAATTCTCGAAAAACGAAAAGATAATATGTAAATTGAAATTTTAAAAGATAGCACTAAATTAGATGGAATATAACTTGAGTTGAAACAAAGATAAGAAAAAGGAAACTGTTGTTTGTAAAAGACCTATTCCGTAATACTTGGAAGTTTTTGCTTTATCGAAGCACTTTTTAGAGTATGAAATCTTATTTTAAAAATTCTCTTTTGAATACAGTAAATTAATTGATTAATTATTTTATATATTGTTATTAGGAAGCTGGGGTAATAGAAGGTGAATTTGAGGAGCTAGGTATCAAGAATGTTTTGAAGAAATTCTTAACCTATAGAACCCCAGGTCCACTTTACTTAAAGAAAGGCAAACCATTTGAAGATACTTCTTCTACTAATGATGATGAATTGCCTGCTTGGTTATCTCATGAAGATATTGATTTCTATGCTAACAAGTATAAACAAATTGGATTCACTGGAGCATTGAACTATTATCGATCAATAGACAGGTAACACTACACGTTTATTTTCATCGAACAATAGAACATTATTCATATTTGGGTATTGCAGAAATTGGGAGGTTACAGCAGCATGGACAGGAGCTAAAATACAAGTACCAGTAAAGTTTATTGTAGGTGATCTTGACATTACTTACAATGCTCCTGGTGCAAAGGATTATTTACACAAAGGGGGTTTCAAGAAACTAGTGCCACTCTTGGAGGATGTTGTGGTATTACAAGGTGTTGGACATTTTATACACCAAGAAAAGCCTAAAGAAATTAATGAACATATTTACAACTACATTACAAAAATTTCATCCTATAAAAATCACTCCATCTGTGCTATTCTCTAGATCATTGAATTAATTTCCCTGCTTCAACTCATGTACTATTATTTTTTTTAAGTGTGCAAATAAGGGTGATTGATTAACCAGATGTGAGCTTCGGTTTGTTGTTCTTTATTGGAATTGGAGTTTCTTGCACTTTTCTTTTGCGACTAAATAATGATTCTTTTCTTCCTATTCTTGAGAAAACATTACGCAGTGAGTTTCTTGTGCTTTATGAAGAAAAAAATCATGCATAAATTAAGGCACAAAGAAAAAGAAAACGCAATTAATTATTCCTTTTAAGTAATACGGACACGAGTATATGACTCACATGAAAAAGCCAAGAGGAGAAAATACAAAATAGTATCTTCTTACTTACTTAGTAGTACAAAAGTCGGAAAGATATCATTTGCAAAGCACAAACAAACCCAGTAGCTTTTCCGTAGATCCTATATTTATGGTAGAAAATCAAATAAATAATATATATATTAACTTGTAAATCCCTAACAAAATTGATTGAAAGCATGTAAATGCTTTCCACTTTTTAAAGGAAATTTAGAACCTCCAAAATTCTAATCCTGTCTGCTCTTCTACTTCTACGGGCTACTCACAAATTGAATAGAAGAAAATAACTTTTTCAGATTTCTTATGCGTAAAAATAAAGATCTTTTGGGTAAAACTGAAGATTTCTTGTAAGAAAGAAGACATAAAATTTAAAGCAAGTTTGTAAAAGGCACGTAAACTAACAATATGAGTAAAATGGGCAAGAACTTCTTGCTTGAGTCAAGAAACAAGTTACAGTCCAATGACTCTTACTTGTGGAACTATATGTATACCAACTTTTTCCTTATCTTGTATTTGTTCCACTTCACCAACTTTATACACTTTATAAATTAAAGCTTTCAACTCTAAAGAATAATCATCTAAAGAAAAAAAAATTCCAAGTAGAGAGGCAGAAAGAGTGAGATGGAGAAGGTTGAACACAAGACAATGAGAGTGAATGGGATAAACATGCACATCGCAGAAATGGGTCAAGGCCCAATAGTTCTATTCCTTCATGGCTTCCCGGAACTATGGTACTCGTGGCGCCACCAAATGCAGTTCATGGCGGCTCACGGCTATCGTGTGGTGGCACCGGACCTCCGAGGTTTTGGAGATACCACGGGAGCACCCAAAGGTGACTTCACAAAGTTCACCACCCTCCATGTTGTTGGTGATCTTGTGGAACTCCTTAACATCATTGCCCCTGATCGAAAGGTGTTTCTAGTTGGCCATGACTGGGGAGCTGTGATGGCTTGGGCCTTGTGTTTGTATAGACCAGATAAAATCAAGGCCCTTGTGAATATGAGTGTTCCATACAACCCAAGAAATCCCATTATACGGCCCATTGTAGCTATGCGCGCTATCTATGGAGATGAATACTACGTTATAAGATTCCAGGTTTATATCATTATCTTCTTCTTCTTCTCTCTCTCCATCTAAATTGAATACTCGATTTGGCTATTGATGGTCTAGTTAATCAACCTTCCATACTTATAAAATTGTGAAGGAGCCAGGAGAAATAGAAGCAGAGTTTGCTCAAACAGGAACCAAGACAGTATTGGAGAAGATGCTGACTCTGCGAGATCCTGAACCATTAAAGATGCCGAAAGGAAAA